CAGAAAAGCGAACAAAATTTGCATTACACTACATACAATTTTCATTTCAAATCATGTTACATTTTACTTAAGTCAAATGTTTCGCCAATAGTGAAAATCATCACTTCCAATCAAAGGATTCTAATCCATGCACGCAACACTCGTCATCTTCAATGGCCAATAGTTAAACAATCATCCTCCCTCGGTTGATATTAATTCTTGTTTGTGATCGTGTGTGAGAATTAAGAGTTTTAGACATTAGTATTTATCAAATTAAAATTTTCATCATGAGACATCATTACTAGGAGATGGTTAATACATGTGCTCATTGACGTAAGGAATCAGTGGTACATTGAAATAGCAATAGAATCATATTTTGTCATCTTGGCCAAGCCGAGTGAGTTATGTAATTTATGTTTGTACTCTAAAAGCAGCCAAATCTTTGGCTAAATAACGTGTTTCTAGATATTCTCATTGCATAAGACCACACACATGAGACAATGCCCTTTTTATGGAAAAGCTGTTCATTGGAAACAATTCAGATACGTTGTAAGGCTATTCTCTACCAACCCATCCACCCCACCCCCAATTGTTGAACGTGCTCTGTGATCACTATCCATACCTCCCCAAGCATGAACTATCTTTAATGGGGGTAAATTTTATTTTAGGTGACCACTTTTACATGATGTCAGGGGAACTTTTCAGAAGAACTCTCCTTATATTTTCTTTTGCGCAAATGGTAAGAACTCATATGTGTGACACGAAGCTGTTGTTGGCTCATTCCAATCAATAATTTCTATAATTGTGAGGAGGAATAACAGCCTTCACGCTCTCTTTATCTTACACGGCTAAGATATACGATAATGCATTTAACACAATACATAATTATATATCTGAAAGGCAGAGTACAACCTACTACAAGATCTACAATATTGATGTTTATTGATGACTTAAACAAAGGTTATGTCTATAGAAACTGGTTTTAAATTAACATAGAGTTCAATCAATCAGCCAGCCGTGAGCTTTAAATCATTTTATTCTTATATATTACTATGCAATTGCTTAAAACAGCTGTTTGAACTGCTTCAAAAACTATTGCTAACATTGCATAGTGAATCGAGTCCTTAAATTATATTATTCGACCCACCCAAGTCGGCTGGTGCCATCAATGGCATTGATAAAATATTCTTTAGTATTTGACCACCAACATGGCTGCCGTGACGTAGCTTGCAACCACCTTTACATTTTAAAGGAAAAAATTAAAACGTTTGTCTTAAATTCACCTGGTTTGCAATGTTATTTTGGAAAAAAATGAAAAAGGTTTTTTGGGTTAGCTGTATCAGCGTGAAAAGTGTGTTCTCTGTCTTCTCCCTAACGATAGATAATTATGGTGGTCGCCATTGCCTCAATATCGCATTTCATGGACAACGCTGCTTACAGTTTGCCAGACATGAAGAAAGATAGGTTCAAGAATTCTGGATTTTACGGACGACAGGAGGGCTTTATTTTTGCTGCGGTCTGCGGATTAATCATTTCCTTCCTATCTTGGCTTATTGCATTTGCACGAGCTTACAATAACTTAGCTTGTGCTTCTTGTGTAAGTACTACATCATGTAGGGGGGATAATAGCTTGTTCATTTAATGGATAAACTTGCGACTTGAGAATAGTTAAATTCAGGTAAAAAATGTTTTCAAAGCAAATTAGTTTCATTTTGTAACGGTCACTGTTTTTTTATATTCAAAGACACTGTTTGTTTATACTCCATGCCATTGCTGCTGTGGAACATAAACAAACAGTGGCTTCGGATAACGCCAACCTCTGCTTATACTAAAAAATACTGGATATTACTAATAAATAATATTCTTATCACTTCAACGTGATGAATTGAAAAATGAGTAAGAGTAAAAAAGTCAAATAAATTCACTGACTCGATTTTAGATAATTAATTACAGTTGTAGAAATGACGGAAACTATTGTAGATATGACGAAATAGTTACAAATATTAGTGGAATAATTTGCATGTGGACGAACCAATCTTAACCGAGCTTGTTTACATACAGTGAATAACATTGTCATTTATTCTTACCACAGATGTTGGGGTTGCATTTGTTCTCGGTTGTTTTACTGATGGTGTTAGGATCGCTTCTAGCAAAAACAACCGTCGCTTACCATGACTCATTTATTTGTGAACGCAAGAACGCCTTGGGCAAGGATACGCACTGTTATCAGTTGTCAATTGGATTGGTAAATATCAGTATTTTATATTTTATGACATGGAAACACATCATTCATTTTTTTCGTGTTAAATATGTTGCTGTCATCTCTTTTCAATATTTGGAGATAGACAGTTGCTCTTCGTGTCATGGCAACTTTTTTAATTACGTAGACTATTATGAAATACTTTGTTTGATGCCTGGCTTTTATAGTACGAGATCAACTACCGCATGATCAATTACCTTAGTTAACAACAAAACACTGATACTAAACCCAGTAGCAAAATCCTGCGTAGGCTAAAATACATCAATGGAAAATATATTTCCATTTTAAAATACTTCAGAGTGAATCCTATTGAGAGTATTTTAGTCTAAATATTCCCCGCCAATTTTTAACCAGCAGCTTAGTTATATAAGCATTTGAATTTAAAATGAGCTATAATTTATTTTGACATACTCTAGACTTCTCCATTGATTGTACCAAAGCCTAAACGCTTCTCTTTTACTGTTCCTTTCGCCAATTGTCCTGGGGGCCTTGAAAAACATACACTTAATACATGCTCCCGACGAATATAGTATGTTTCGTTTTCCGATAGTGTCAACATTGCAATGAGACTCGAGGAAAACAAAACTCACTATTTCCCGCGGGAGCGTACATTAAGTGTTTTGTTAAACTCGACGTCTTTCAGGTTGGATGCTTGGTCAGGCAAAATATCTTTTCAAAATGTATAAGGCAAACTGCAGCATTTTTTCGTCGACTTTCAAGTGATTTCTGAATCCTTTTTGAGATTAATAGTTGAAATTTTTCGGAAATAGACGGGCGATAATTTTCCACTTGCTTCCTTTGTGGAAAACAGTGCATTTATTTCAGGTCATGTGACTACAAAATGAAACAATCAAATTTAACATGCACAACACCTATGTAACAATATAATTTTATTGTCCTAGAAGTAACAGAAGTAAAATGCATGTCACGAGCTACATTTATTAATTAAACTCAATCTGTCTTCAAACATTGCGCATTTCAAGATGTAGTCGTTCGAAACCGAACATGATTTTTTCGTCTGCCATACCTGACTTAAAAAAGCAAAATCTCGTGGAACAGATTATACAATTATGCAAACATATCTTTCTCGTGTCATGATATCAATATGAAGAAATACCAAATTCGGTTGTCAATGTAAAATCAAGTTATTCGGCTCGGTATTGTTATATCGTTGTCACACCATAAAATTTCGGGCCTCTGACGAAACTTGTGTGTAAAACCGTTTTAATCTTTGTGTTATAAGTCTAACCTTAATAAACCACCCTTTCAAATGGCCGCCATCTTTATCGACTTTTGAAAATCAACTTTTCATTTCTAACAATGCATTTCAGTGAAATCATAATGACTTTTCATCAGAAATGGTGACGTCATTAGGCAACAATGAAAGACTTCTTGTCTCTTACAGGTTTGTGGTTTTGTGGCTATCCCATTGTTTCTCACAAGTGGTTTCATTTTCTACACGTTAACGTTTCACGATGCAGAGGACTTCGAGGTATTGGATAATGAAGTAAATTAGAAGTTTCGCGAAAAGTGTAGAAAAGTTTTAATTTTTATCACTTTCATTATGTACACATCTTATGTCATTGAATATTAAGAACACGTAACGTAACTGAGCAAAGTCCCCCTTTACAGAAAATATTGTCTGCGAGCAAGTGTTGGCTCGATGGGCACTTTAGGTCTTAATGTAAATTTGATTATTAAGCACAATCTATAAATATCTTTTATTTATCATTATAATTATTATATTTATTATCATTTTTATATATTTATGTAATAAAGGTTCTTCAAATAGACAAATGTTTAAGCTATTGATTTCGCAGAAGCAGAAAAGCGCCTGTTTGATTTTACCAAAACATCTTGTAAAAGGTTTGTTTATCTTCGATTGCGTCAGCCAATGCCCTACTTCATTGCTGTTTGTACTGATGTCACTGAATTCTGCTATTTCATCTCCTAATTTGCCAGTTTACTTAAGTTACGTTTACACACAACAATTTGTGAGGCCGACACCGACGGCATTATAAGTGATTCTTGCTATATTTGGAGAATTTGTCGTCTACAACTAAATCGCTGGGTGGAAATAATGCATCCGATGTATTTATGCGATGTTAAAAGCCGAAAAAGAAAACAAACAGGTCAAAGAACAACTTGTCATTGTAGCAACGATCAAGGCAATGTTAACTATTATTACCTTAAATAAAAAGGGAAAAAGAAATAAAGATCAGTGTAGGTGAAGTGCGAATCTAGGTAAATTTGCCAAATTTCCTTTTCACAAAATAATCTTGACTGTTTTCATTTTCTGAATCTCTGCAGCTTTTGGTTCGATAAAAACAACAGCCCTCTCGACATTTTCCTTTTCCGCGTTGACAGAAGACAATTCGATTATTATTTTTCGATAAACATAATTTGCTTGTTTCATAAGCTATAGCAACACAGTAAAAATCGGGATCAAAACTGTAACTTGCTAGAGATTTTCATCCGACTTTTCGAGTCGGGTGACTTTCCAAATATGGCAAGAACACGTAATATAGCCTCAGTGTCGGCCCGGCAAATCTTTGTGTGTAAACGTACCTTTAATGTGCTTTGTGGATAAATATCACAGTTTATGACAAAGTGAGGCACATTTTGCTCCGTGTCATTTCGTTCAGATACGCATGTGACTGTCTAAAATTATCTTTTCTTTGACCAATATAAAAGCTAACGGAAAATACCATCTATATCAACATATCCTAGATATCTTATGCTTCACTTTGTAATTTGATCATTTAAGACAAAACAAAATCTTTTATTAACATTACATTAACACCATTTATGTACACCAAAGTATATTAATTAGGCTACGGAGATATTAAACTCTTTCTTTACCAACGTGTCTTTAAAGTCCCACTGCCAAATGAATATATTATTAATAATAAATATAACTTTTAAAACATTTATGGTGGTAAAGAAAGGGTAAATATTCTTTCAACAGACTATTCTCTCTGCTTGTCTAGAATAGAATAGTTTTGTGTGTGTGTGGGAGGGGGAGTGTGTGCTTTTGTTTGGATTAGATTTTAGTGGGTTCTTGTTGCTGTTGCATGTCAAACTTTTTTTGTCAAATTCTGTTACCTCGCTGCTGCATTCCTTCAATCAAGGAAAGGAGGGATATGCACTCTTTGCATCCCTTCCCCTAAATCAATCCCGTCAGTCATTACGCTTTTTGAGTGTCATTTGTAAAGCAATTTTGGAGACCAATAATGGAAACACGTTCGTCTACAGTTTATCACTCATAACCATTTGTCCAGTTTCCTTTTTTTGCATTTTATTTCTTTGCAGTTTTTTCGTTTTATGTTTGAAGACATTTAAACTTCCACCACAGGAACGTTGTCGAAGAGATACTGTGAACCTTGAAAGTCCCTTTTTTCCCTAAAGCGAGAAAATAGAGTAATGAAAATCAGCATCCACGTCCACGACGTATAGGTCGAGTACATAGAGGCTGAGTTCAGTTGTCTAAATACTGGGCTGAAACTGACGATATAAACACACAAGCTTGTAGTAACGCAAGTTTGGCAGTTTTGAACTATAGGGCGAAAGATTTACTAGTGTCTGACTCTGAAGAATTAACGATGAAACAACAGTCGAGGATTTTTGACGGGGTAAATTTACTTTCAAAGTATTGCGGTTTCAATAACGACATGGCAAAGACATCATGCAACTAGCATTTTTCATTCAACAGAATTGAAAATGATTCAGCCGTGGGAAAGTGAAGATGCAAGCTGAAGCAATTTCTACATGACGAAATAAAATTTGAAAGCAAGCAAGCAAGTTTTGTTATTGATGAAAGCAAGCAAGTTTTGTTATTGATGTGGGATATTTAGTCTAAACATCCCCAAAAAAAATATTGATGAGGGATTAGTACTAAATATCCTTCATCCATATAATTGAGGGAAATACTTTAGTAAATGTCCCTGTGATAACAAATGATCCCGATGCAACAATTTTATTAATTATCTAAAGAATGTTCTCAACAGTCGCCATGTAACGGAAAAATCCCCTATAGTGTAAAGATTTTGTTGATTTCATACTCCATTGAGCATCGACACATTGATGCACTCCCACTAAATAGCCGCTTCGACGTCATATGAAAACTCACCATATCATCTAAATATGTGTATTTACCATATCATCTAAACTCTCCATATCATCTAAATATGATAACATTTTTAGGTGTCTGCTTACCGGGCATTATATTTTTTTCGACAAATGAAAAGCACCATGACAGCCAGTGCTACGATAATCACCAACACAACCGAAATGATTAACCAGGTAAGCCAATTGTTCTCATCGTTACCAATTTTTTCCGTTGAGGAAGACGCAGATGGGATGATTCTTGGAGGTTCTTGGGTAGTGCCTTCTACAGAAGGGGCTGCGGTGCTAGGCGAAGATGTTCGAATGGTGGTCGGTGTCGTTGACGGAGTCGATGTAATGGAAATAGAAGATGATGGTTTTTCTAAAGAAACGTGAAAATTCTACGCTTAATTCAACAAATAAGTCACCTCTAGGAAAACCAATACGTGTATCGATGCCAAATATTTCAATTGTGTATATTTCAATACATAAATTCATTCTTATCAGTAAAGTTTCCAACAATGATTTGAAGTCCCTCAGGAAATGCATTTTTTTTGCAATACGTTGTTGTGGAAATTGGAATGATTATGAAGTAAAAGGTGATTGCTTTGATTTTTTCACAAAATAAAATCACTACATTTTTACTTTTTTTAATTCATGTATGTCATTAATTTAAATGATAAAAAAATTTTACATTAATAATTTCACAGTTGCTTAACAACCAAGCTTTTCAAAATTAGGACTACAAAGTACTCGTTAGGATATTTATGGACATGGTTCACATAACATGTAGGGAAAACCCCTTTGCCAAAATATTACTTCACGAGGTATCTCACCGTCGACTGTGACATATCGATGATATAAAACAGATTTAAAGAAATTTGTGGCCCAGTATCATTGATTTGTAACACTCAACCAAAACCAATATTTAGAAAGCTAAGCGCAGCTACATGAATTTTTTCTTAAGTAAATAGAAAGTGTTAATTTGTCATGTCATGTGTACTGTGGGCGAGTACAAACTTGTGAAATGAATGTAAACATTTGAGTATTTCTGCCGGGTATTTTACCCTATTCTATATTTTACATCAAATATCGACGCGTTTTAAGTGGGCAAGCTGTTATCTTTGGAAAAGGTGAAACGATGCATGTTTTGTAATATGACCACTATTTCTACGGCGCTTGTCCAAAATTGAGTCATGTTCTTACATACAAAAAATATAAACATGGATTTCAAAATAGCAAATACCATGGTGAATGGTGATAATAACAATGTAATAGTTCTTAAAAGAAATTTAATAGTTCATAACTATTACATTGATATTATCACCATTCACCATGGTATTTGCTATTTTGAAATCCATATTTAAGTTTGTCATAATGACAAAGTCTCTGTTTAAATAATATAAACTTCTCCTACAAATAATATAAATATGCCGGACAAATTTATAAGCTAATAGATAAATCTCTTAATTTTCTATTAAAAAAACTAACTTTCTAATGATGTTACATCGCAATAATAAAAAGACTTTTAGATTTTATCATGACTCGTATCACTCGCAAGTCGTAAACGTTACAAAGTATGGGCACTCAAAGTTAACAAAAACAAACAATAAATTCTTTACCAATTTGTACATAGAGAACTTAACATTGACTTTACTTGATATATTTAATAATGGATATTTTATCGTATTGTATCGTATTATTGTAAGGTGTGTTGATATAGCGGTATAGTCATATAGGTTCTAAGTGGCTTATGCAATCTGATGCAATAGTCGCTATCAAAAATCGCGCAAAAGACTAACGATTATATAAACTTACTACAGTGCTCTTTGCATAGTTCTTTGTCTTGCCCTTGTTCTTCGCAGAATAAAGGACACTTCTTACAAATGGGATCTTTACCAAAATAGGTGCTTGGGTAGAATCCTGGTAAGCACGTTGTCGCTTCAACACGATACACGAATGAGCCGAACACGCATAAAATACCGAATAACGACACACATAAGTGCATCATAGTAGTATGCAAAAAATAAAGTTTTTCCAATACGTCCAAGTAGGGTAAATTTCAACTCATAATCTGACTTTAGTAATTTCTTCTTCTGTCGACATGCCGCATACTTTAATTGTCAATATATCCTTTGGAATGAAGCTTGATTAGTAATAATGTCATTTTCAATAAAGTCTGTTCCTATAGTGATGATTTCCGTTGACGTCATCTTATGTGTTCTTTGAAGTGGCAATGACTCATCAATTTGTTTTGAGTTGATACATTTGGGAAATGGGATTTCTCTATTGGATGAGACGAGTGGCCATATTTTTAACCTCAAACACTTTTTATATGAAAGAGAGAACGCAACAACGATAAAACTAATTTTGTAAAGGATTTTAATCATGGCAAGTGTCTGAACAGAATTGATAAAAAGTAAAAGATAGCATCCAAAATTTGATGCTCTTAGTGTTTAAACTATAGTCAATGGAGTACATTGCCTTGAAGTGACCAAAATTAATCGTCAACTGCTGTGCCAAAATGCTACTGCCTGGTTTCTCAATTTCATGAGTGAAATTGTTGATGGGAGATGATTGACTTGTGACGCAGGCAGTGACGTACGCTCTTTATTCTGAATTTTTGCTGTCTCAGGAAAATATTTGTCGAGAATGTTTGCTTTTAATGTATTTTGAGTTCTTTATTTGCAAAGTGCGTTGTATCCATTTTTATGCGAACTCGAATGATGAAGGAAGAATAATAGCAACATAGTTTTCAGATTTAGTTTACCATAAACCCAGCAAAATAAGAAATTTTAGAAATGAACAATGTGCGTCAATGTTTCGTATTTTCTTACTATTTAAAGATGGAAAGATCCATCTCAGTATGATTTTTTTCTAAAAAATATTGACCTAAATCCTCCATTAGAAAGAGTAAACACTAGAATTAAATGCACTTTTAACTGTTATGGAATAGTATACTAGATGAAGGAAAACAAGTTTCTAATCAAACATTAAGCTTTATACAAGGTACGTTAGACTGTATTATTTGCTTAAAAATTAAATTACATTATGATTACAAAAATTAACTTTGGTTTGTAGCTTATGACGTAATATTAAAGACTTTTCATGTTTCGTGAAGGTGCTAAACTCATCTTTTTACAAGACTTAACTTATCAGCGTAAGAACAAAAGTCAAGTATTCCGACTACGCTCACTCTCATTTTTATTTTAGAAAACTGTAGAGACCACGATGACTTGTTTTGTAAATAGATACTATTTTCAGCTGCAACTATTTTAGTGACTACCAGTAATTTTCTTGCAATTTAGAATTGACGCTTCTGGCTTTTTAGAATTCTGTAGATGTTTCTCCACAAAACATAAGTGCCAGTAAGCAACCACTCTTTCGAGGTATGTGTGGCGAAAGTTCTCAAGAAAACACATGATTTTTCTTATAATTTAATTCAACGCATTTAAAGGAAAATTCGTAAATTAATTACGATTAACGGTTTATTATAAGTATTACTCCACCGTGTGACACACACGCTACATCATTAAGTAAATACATATATCAGGGCCTGTTTACATGATCCCGGGCAAGCGGGACAAGTGCTCACCGAGATCCCGTGTGTAATAATAGTTCTAATCAGTATTTCTATGATCCCGCCATTTATCCCGCCTTGACGCGATCTCGGTCTTTGCTGCTGGGATATCGCTTTACCGAGACTAGAACTTGGCCATGTAAGTAATTTGCCACTTTATCCCGGTAAGCCGGGATAATGACATCGAGTAAAATATCGTTGTTTTAACATTAGCATTGGCAAAACAATAGTGTTTCGCTTGCTTACAGACTCAAGCAAAACAGCCAACCCACCAAGCATTTAATGCAGTCTTTTCCCGGTCAGCAGTTCATCCATATAAACAAAAAAAGTTTCTCGGCTAGCTGGGATGAAATAATCTCGTACCGCTTGACCGGGGATCATGTAACACACCCTAAATATAAGAAACGATATTTGTGATAATCTCTGACACACCCATCTGCCAATCACTGTGATTGTAACAGTCTTATGGGAGTTGAGGAAGCATAGTCTCGATGATGCAATTCCAAGTTTATTTTCAGAGTGAATCGTTGAATGTCTTCTTGTAATCATATTATGTCGGCAACAAAACGCTACAGAATACACTGCTGGAGATTCCTGAAGCTCCTGAATACGGATTGCCTGGATTGATGGATTTCTAAACCGGTTTCATCATACTTTTTGTGTCATATGGTTCTCCTCGGCAAAAGCGACGTTCAGCTTACTGACGGCAAGAATGTTTCATGGGCGTTCATGTAAGTTTATTATTTATCGTTTTTCTTCCTTATTGGTAGTCTCTGCCAACGTGTCTGGTGTGGTTTATTTTGCTCAACACAATACTGATATGTCCTACAAGGCTACAAATGTTTTGTTATTTTACGAAACGTTATGTAATGAAACGCTTCAACTTAGCGAAGGAATTTGTAATTGCGCGTCTTCGTTTTCATTGTTATTCTCTTTGACGAACGGTTTCCATCACAATTCTCCTGACAATGAGACTTGTGTACGTCGTCACTATTTCTGCCACCTTTTATACTTGTGTGAAATTAAAATTGTTGACAAGAACAATTGTGTTTTGATCGGAATATGATGGAGTATTTGATATGTTGTTTGTTGGTGGCAATACTTGTGCCGAGCAATGTCGTCTTGTCTGGTTAATTGTGACGTCTAATCATAAGCTAGAGTATTTGCCCCCTGTTGAGTTCACATTGTAGTGTGGGATTGTTTTATTTTACTGTTTATACATGCAATTAAAGAAATTACACTGTCTGTTGAACAACACTTTATTACGACGTTTAAAAACGCGCTCAATAACGTCAAGCTCGCATGACTTTAACTCGTGGTGGAGTCGTGAATGGACTTGTGGATTTTTCTCGGTAGATTTATTAAAATAATACTATGGTCTCTATAACTAGGTGAAAAAGTTCGTCTTTGCGAAAAATTTAGTGCACGTTAGAATTTGCGATAGTGATGTTTGCATAAACGTATCATCATGATTCAATTCAGACTCTACGCACTTCTGTCACGTTTAAAGTAGACGTCTGACAAGATACTGGCATAACTGCAGTGCTTTTCAATGTGTACTCTTATGTTTGAACTGAGATTTATGGTCTATGGTTTTTGCGCATGTACTTATAGGTGGTTATTTTAATAATGATGAAGGCGGTGCATCAGCTTCTGTTTGAAATCAACAGACGTTTAGAATTAGCATGCTTCCATGAGTGTTAAAATTGTTCCCAAATGCTGTTGAAAACTATAAATTCACTAGTCACAAAAGCACAAGCAAGAACACAAAGCCAGCATGATATCCTGATGTTGGACGAAATAAAACAAAATGGATTTTCTTTTTTTGCTTTCAATTCTTGGCATCACAGTATAAGGTATTATTATTATATACTCGCCTTTGTAGTTGTTTAATGCAATGTATTTATTTTTTTGATTTTTGATCTATGAACTTTTTATCAAGATCAAATCTCTTAAGACATTTTTATTAATAAATGAATCAATTTCTGAAGGGCTAGAGAAAATGACCTTCTCAATATTCTTCTCATCTTAATTATCGAAGATTGCGGTTGTTAATTGCTTAGCATTTATAGCTAAAAGCGTTAACCAAAGAACCAATAGTCGAAAAGAAATAATAAATATGTTTTTAAAAGAACTTAGAGCCTGATTACATGAAGCATTTCAACCCCAGGGCTGAATTTGAACCCTTTTGGGTGGGTTAAAATTTTTCCGATTATATAGCAGCTTTCCACCCCGGATCTGAGGTCTTGAGTAATTGCGCGCAAGTAATGAATTTCTCGCGAATATTCAAAATTGTAAACATGGCTGACAAAACTTTTATCGATTTGTAATTTTCGGTGCTCATCAACTGTGACGGATCATTGGCATAAATGGAAGCCATCTCACGTTTGACAGCTTTGTACTGCTTTACTTTGTCTGCATTAAAATCACTTCTTAAATTATAAGCGTCTTATAATTGCTCAAACTTCTTAAAAGATTGTCACTTTGTTGTTATCCCTACGAAATCTTTTTACAGGGACGATAATAGCACTTTCTGCTTCTGTATTTTCTTCGGATCGTAGGATACCTCGTGAGTTGTATTGACTCCATTTTGTTTTGGTCATGTGCAGTATTGCACGCATTTCTTCGCTACCACGGATGCTCACTGATTTCAGCCCTGGGTATCAAACAATTACATGAGATATTTTCAGCCCCGGTGTTAATTTCAGCAAAGGGCTGAGATGTCAGCCCGGGTAGCTCAAGCAAGGATGAAATTTCAACGCCGGGGTTGAGTTCAGCACCGGGGTTGAAAAGCTGTCATGTAATAGCGCATTGTATTTGATTAGGATTTATAGAGCAGACAGGGCTGAAATTTCAGCCCACTTAACAGGGCTGAGTTCAAACTCAGGGTTGAAAATGCTTCATGTAATCAGGCCCTTAGAACATGATTTATCATATAGGATGCTATTTAATTTTTTATATGGAAAATAATCTAAATTCAGATTATGAGTGGTAAAGACCACCTTAAGTTTAGGTGGGACAAACCGAAAAACAATTAAATATGTAAATTTAGTCGTAGTGCTCCATCATAACTAATCACACATGATACATTGAATGCTTAGAATTATTTTGGCTGTTACAACAAACATGCATATATTGTGATTTATTGCTCGGACGTAAGATCAACTGAGAATTGCTAAAGCCTTTGGGTAAATTCACGTCGCATTTGGAGTTATGTGCAACAATATGGATATTAAATAGTGCCATTCCAGCTAAAAATGTCGTATCACAATTTGTGGCAAATTTGGCTGCTTGTCTATTAGCTTCCTCACGCGCTTAACTACTTTATAAAAGGGATTGAGCATTGAGGCTTGTGAATATTTTAGAGATGTTATACGTCATTTCAATTTCGTTGAAAAATAATTAAATTTTGGGTTTTTAACAGTCTGTTTTGTACATTGATATTAATATTTTTCTTGGGTTAGAGAACCTACTACTAACTATGTTTTGTAGATTCTAAGTATGTATAGTTCAGTTTTCCTACCTGATTAGAGC